TTTTTCTCACTTTCTGTTACCTCACCCCCATTCTTAACTAGGAATCATTTGAAAGTCGGACATATGTAACTCGGGGACTGCCTGTATTGTCTATCTGCATTAGTTGAGTATTTATTGAATTATGTTTTATTATAGTGTTATGATTTTATTGATGTTGATGTTTTATATTGTAATTGTGTTCTTGGTGGCATTTAATTCTGCCTTGTAATAAACCTCCTCGAGTCGCTGGAAGGCTGAGAGGGGCGGTATACAAATATACTAAATAAATAATAAATAATAGTTCTATAAGTAGAGCCAGCCTGAGCTGCAGAAGGGGTAATTTTTGCCCTTCCCAGTAGATTCAATCAAAAGTAAACTGCTGCAACTCTCCTAGATTGGGTATTCTTCCAAATTAATAACTGTTCCCATCTTGACCACATCCCAGTGTTGTTTGGACACACTTGCACATGGTTTCCATCTGTGAAATATTGTAGCGTATGGAGATGCTCCTGCTTAAGCCGCTGTTTTGATTCAAGTGGGAACATTAATAAAGCAGTAGAAGGATATCCGATCTTTACTTCTTTGCTTTTTGGTTCCCCCTCGATGGATTGTCACCTTGTCATGGAGAGGGGACTTACGGGTTTCAATGAACCTGCGGGCATAAATACCAAAGTCATGCACTCCCAGGAGGGGCCACAGGGGAGGTTCCAGACTGAGCACAATCCGGAGACCTCAATGACAGATCAGGCAGAAGACAACATGGTATATGTTACAATGGCTGTGAAGGTGGAAGAAGGCTGTAACAAATTGAAAAAACTATTGCAATGCACTCTACATGGGGCTGCCTTTGAAGACAGCCCAAAAGTTTCACTGGTACAACGGGCAGCAGCCAGGCTCCTTACGGGAGCAAACTATAAGGAGCATACAGCACCCCTATTAAAACAGCTTCATTGACTGTCGATAAGTTGCCAAGCCAAATTCAAGGTGCAGGTCATGACCTATAAAGCCCTAAACGGTTTGGGCCCCGCCTATCTCCGCGATCACATCTCCTTCTATGAACCGGCACAAACTCTAAGATCTTTCAGGGAGGCCCTCCTTTCGCTCCCACCACCGTCACAACTACGGTTGGTGGGGATGAGAGAGAGAGCCCTCTCAGTGGTGGCCCCCGCCTCTGGAACGCCCTTCCAAAGGAAATAAGACAGGACCCATCCCTCCCCTCCTTTCGTAAGAGCTTGAAGACCTGGTGGTTTCAACAAGCCTTTGAGAATGACCAGTTCTAGCTCAGCCTGAAACATTGTTGAATATGGTCTTATACTTCCTATCTATTACCCCAGTCATCCCTCTAATAGTCCCTGAAAATGAGCAGCCACAGACCCGTACCTGCTATTGTTGTTAGCCTGTTATATTTATTTATTTATTTACTTATTTATTTATTTATTTATTTATTTATTTCAGTTACTTCTACCCCGCCCTTCTCACCCCAAGGGGGGACTCAGGGCGACTTACAAAAGAAGGCACAATTCGATGCCTATGTCAAATATACATGCATACATAAAAGCAATTAAACAGTTAACAGATTAAAAACACCAGTACATAACACAATAGTAAACAATCTCATGCTCAGTGTTCAGAGTTCCATAAATCCATTCCGTTCCGTCAATTCCTGCCCATCATCAAGGTCTTTTCTTTAGCTGCCAGACTGTCCAAAAGCCTGGTCCCACATCCAGGTCTTCAATTTTTTTCTGAATGAAAAAAGGGAGGTCGCTGATCTAATCTCCCCAGGGAGTGAGTTCCACAGGTGAGGGGCCACCACCCAGAAGGCCCTGCTCCTCGTCCCCGCCAGCCTCACTTGTGATAGAGGTGGGGTCGAGAGCAGGGCCTCCCCAGAAGATCTTAAACTCCGAGGTGGGACGTAGAGGGAGATCCGTTCGGACAGATACACTGCACTGTACTTAATTCCTGGTCTGCCCATATTTTGAGTTTGCACTAGCCTTGGCCCAGCTTTTAATTGCTCTGAACAGGCAGGATTATTTTTTATATATGTGTGTTATTGTGATAATTTTATGCTTATATTTTATGTCATGCTGTTTACTCTGTATGTTTTGGTGATGTTACTTGGAAACCGCCCTGAGTCCCCCTCGGGGAGATAGAGCGGTATATAAATAAATAATAATAATAATAATTATTATTATTATTATAATAATAATTATTATTATTATTAAAAAGCCACTATCATCGTGTTAACCACAGCACTGGCTGGGACCCTCACTCTGTGAAGACTGTGTGTTGATCGGCTGTGCAGTGACCTCCACACATTAAAAAACCTCATGCACAGCCGTCTTCCAAGAACTTGGAAGGCCATCATACTCGGACAACGAGGAATCACCTAAGTAAGTTTCTTGGCTCAGCCTTTCACAAGTCAGGTATGGCACTAGGTTTGATGGGACTCTTGATGAAGAAGTCTTCCAGATTGTCTTCAACAACAGGGTCCCCATTCTGCATGGCAGCAGGAAGGGAAACATGAACTAGGACAGTGGGATGTCAAGATGTGTGGGAACCACTGTAGCCGATGTCCCTTTCTGATCGTCCTATTTTTCCTAGAAGCAAATGGGCACTACCACCACCAGCAGTGAAATAAAAAAATCTAGGCTCACATGGAAACATCCCTTTTTTAAAATTATAGAGCCTAGTATCTCCTGGCAAGGAAACTCAGGAGAAACACCCAGGAGGTTCTCACTACTACCTCCTCCGAGCATCTGTTGCTTGGCACAGTTGCCTCACTGTCAAAAATCCAGTTTGGAAAGGGAAATGTAGGATGTGTGCGGGAAGATGAATTTAAGAAAACACGATGAGCTCTACTGGATAGCAGCAAGAATTAATCTTATCTTGTATTTTGTTTCCAACAATTGGCCACGCAAAAGCTTCTCAAGGTGCATTCTACACAGGGGCAGCTCAATCCATTACGCAAAGTAAGCATTTGCAGTATAGTCGATTTTGCCCAGGGGCGCTCTTGGGGGAAAATAGACCTTGATATATGCGAGTTGTAGTTACTGGGATGTATAGTTCACCTACAGTCAAAGAGCATTCTGAACTCCACCAATGATGGAATTGAACTAAATATGGCACACCGAACTCCCACGACGAACAGAAAATATTTATCAGTGATTGGTTGGGGGGGGCGGGGTACCAAAATACTGTTTGCTTACCATTGAAAATTACCTAGGGCTGTCTCTGATTCTACACTGTAGAATTAATGCAGTTTGACACTAATTGCCGTGGCTCAATGCAATGGAATAATGGGATTTATAGTTTGGTGAGGAATCAGCACCCTTTGACAGAGAAGGCTAAAGACCTGGTGAAACTCTCACTCCCACAATTCCATAGCATTGAGCTGTGGTAGTTAGAGTGGTTTCAAACTGCATTAATTCTACAATGTGGATGTACCCTGAGAAGCCTACAAAACTATCAACACTCTACAATGCTCCCTTTTTCCAACTTAGGCCCCTTCCACACAGCTGTATAAAATCCGCATAGAACTGGATTATATGGCAGTGTGGACTCAGATAATCCAGTTCAAAGCAGATATTGTGGATTATCTGTCCTGATATTCTGGGTTATATGGCTGTGTAGAAAGGCCCTTAGTGTCATACAGCAAAGGTAGCAGAAGTTGACTTCTAGAGTAGAGTTGACCCTGGCACACTGATCATGTGAATCCTTCCCACAGGTTTGCAGCGTAAGTTTTCGTAACTTAAATCAGGAGCCACACTGTGCCATTCACCAAACCAATTCAGAATAGCAATGGAGACTTGTGTGGTATGCATAGGGACCCATCTCAAGATTATTTGTGGAAGCATACTTGCTTTAACGCTGGCACCTTAAGCACATAACTACCCTGCAAAGCCAGAATCATCAAGAGACAGATACAATAACAGGTAACACTCTATACCCAAAACACTGGCAAAACACTCTGCTACAGGCATCAATATCTAAATACAATTGAACACATCTGTATGGGGATGTTTTTGTGTGTGTGTGCCAGGAGCGACTTGAGAAACTGTAAGTCGCTTCCAGTGTGAGAGAATTGGCCATCTGCAAGGACGTTGCCCAAGAGACATCCAGATGTTTTACCATCCTGGGAGAGGCTTCCCTCATGCCCCCGAATGAGAAGCTGAAACTAACGGACAGGAGCTCACCCTGCTCCTTGGTATCGAATCGCTGACCTTTAGGACAGCAGTCCTGCCGGCACAAGGGTTTAACCCATTGCACCACCTGGGGCTCCTGCTAAGTCTATTAGAAGCAAACATTAAAATTCTCCCAGAAGTCAACCAAATGTTGGTAATTTATTTATACTATCATTACTTATGTTTCCACCAATTTACATTGCAGTAGCAGCAACAGCCAAGCTGCTTCTGGTGTGAGAGAACTGGAGGACAAGGACGTTGCCTAGGGGATGCCCAGATGTGTTACTATCCTGTGGGAGGCTTTTCTCATGTCCCCGCTTGAGAAGCTGGAGCTGACAGACGGGAGCTCACCCTGCTCCCTCGATTTGAATCGCAGACCTACCGGCACATGGGTTTAACCCATTGCGCCACTGGGGGCTCCTGTATGGGGATGAAGGACTTAACAAACAAATCTTGATGCTTCTCACATTGCTGGCATGCACTTGCTTGTTCCTTACATGACATGTGCCCATTTAATTTCAGTATATTGGTACACAGCTGGAATGGTATCCTTTTCCATGCTCAAGGAACACCTTCCCTCTGCTGTCAGATTAAAGGCATTCGTTTCCACCTGCATCCCATTGCCACCTGTCCACATTTCATCCCTGTTTGCACTTCAGAGGCACATCTGTCGGTGCACCTTCACACCTTCAGTTCCTATAACCACCACTTTCCTTGCATGCCTGTACCTTCCTCCCAAACCCTGCTGTTGAACAGACACTATAGGTAACTATCCACCCATGCTTTCACATCCTGCACATGCACATCATTAGAGGATGTCACCGAAAGTATGAACTGTACCTGGGTTGTGTCTTTCCTTCTCAGATCCCAAAGCCACCTCCTGCAGGAGCCAGAAGAGGAGGACAGAGGCTCCCCAGGACATCTTCAGCAATTCCAGGTGCATCCCCATCTTTCCAAAGCACCACCACTAACTTTCTGCTCTTCCCTCCCCTGTAGTTTCTTCCCCAAGAGCTCCTTGGTCCCCTTCCTCAGGACTTGTCACCTCCAAGCCAGTGGTGGCCAAGGAAGGGGGAATTCAGGGTGATGCCCAGGTTCTGGTGGAATTTGACTGGCAGAAAAATCTAGCCTTTGGGGGCTGCTGCAGCAAGCAACTCTCAAAGCTCAGCTGAGCAGGGCTTGGATGGGGGAGAGACAAGAGAAGCAAACAGGGGAGGGAAAGGAGGGATGGATGGAAGGAAGGAGGGATAGAGAGAGGAACAGGGGGAACTGCCTGCCCTCTTGTGGCCATTTGGATTATACCACAAAAGCAATTCTATTTGATGGGAATTTAAGGCAAAAGCTTTAAAAAGCATGTGCCCAGATTGATCTTAAACCAAGATGAGAATGAATCTACACAGTCCTATATCCCAGGATCTAGAGAGCTGCGATGGCTCAATGGGTTAAACCTTTGTGCCGGCCGAACTGCTGACCTGAAATTTATTATTATTTATTTATTTACAACATTTCTACCCTGTCATTCTCAACCCCTGGAGGGGGACACAGGGTGACTTACAACGGCAGCGATTTGATGCCGGCAACATACAACACATTACAAACAACATTATCCAAAAGATAAAACATTAGATTAAAATACATTTAAAACATTATTATCATGATAGTCAGTGGTTCGCATCAACAGGGTGGGGTGAGCTCCTGTCTGTCAGCTCCAGCTTCCCATGCAGGGACATGAGAGAAGCCTCCCATAGGATGGTAACACATCTAGGCATCTCATGGGCAATGTCCTTGCAGATTGCCAATTCTTCAGTAGCCAGCACAAGGATGAAACCCTTGTGCTGGCTGAACCGCTGACCTTCAGGTCAGCAGCTCAAATCTGCGAGATGGGGAGAGGTCCTGTCTGTCAGCTCCAGCTTCCCATGCAGGGACATGAGAGAAGCCTCCCATAGGATGGTAACAGATCCGGGCGTCCTTTGGGCAACGTCCTTGCAGATGGCCGATTCTTAAGTAGCCGGCACAAGGATTAAACCCTTGTGCCAACTGAAATGCTGACCTGAAGGTCAGCGGTTCAAATCTGTGAGATGGGGGAGAGGTCCTGTTTGTCAGCTCCAGCTTCCCATGCAGGGACATGAGAGAAGCCTCCCACAGGATGGTAAACTTTGGGGCGTCCCCTGGGCAACATCCTTGCAGATGTCCAATTCTCTCATACCAGAAGTGACTTGCAATTTCTTCTGACACATAAAAAAATATCTCAGGATCTGATCCCAGATTATCTGTTTATCCCAGATTATCCAGCACTGTAGGCTCATATAATCCAGTTCAAAGCAGATAATCTGGGATCAGATCCTGGGATGTAGGGCAGTGTCGATCCAACCTGAACTGAAATTCATCTGTAATGTCGAGTGTAATATGTCAAGGGGAGGATGGTGAGATTTGTTTCTGTTCTGCTGCATCCACCTATGAAAACTCTGTTTCCAAGTTTATAACTATCCAAGGAAGGTACAAGATTGTTGTATTGTCCCCCAAAAAATAATTCTGCATCCTCAATTAAATTACCTGTCAGTTCCCAAATTGCTGGCATTGCAGAAAGGTATTGTGATACTGAAAATTATTTACATCTACAACTTACTATTTGCTATGTTCTCATTCATTTAGGAACTTTGGCTCCCCGTTTTCTTTGGATGCCTAAACTATACTTCCAAATAAGAAATAGTTTTTGTCTCAGTTGGCCCACCATATCCACAGATTATATATCCACGAACCAAACCATCCACTTCTCAAAAATATTTGAAAGACATTTCAAGAAGCAAATGTTGAGATGGCCATTTTCTATAAGGGACACAATTTTACTATGCTATTGCTTATATTACTTATTTAGGCAAACCCTCGTTGGACGAGTAGGATAGTCTTCCATGATCAGTATTCTTGTGAATCTGTAGGTGGCTGTGGAGCCCTATTCTTGACCTACATCTTCTCCCACAGTGAGGGCATTCTTTTCCAGGTGGAAGGCGGTCTTGGTCAGGGTTAGCTTGATGCGCCTTCCTCTTGGCACATTTCTCTCTTTCGCCCTCCATTCGTGCCTCTTCAAATTCTGTAGCACTGCTGATCACAGCTGACCTCCACCTGGAGTGCTCAAGGCCCAGGGCTTCCCAGTTCTCAGTATCTATGCCAGAGATTTTAAGGTTGGCTTTGAGCCCATCTTTAAATCTCTTTTCCTGTCCACCAACATTCCGTTTTCCATTCTTGAGTTCAAAGTAAAGCTTCCATATATGGACTTGAGCATCCATGGATTTTGGATGGGCTTAAAGCCAACCTTAAAAACTGTGGCATAGATTATGAGAACTGGGAAGCTCTGGCCCTTGAGTGCTCTACCTGGAGGTCAGCTGTGACCAGCAGTGCTGCGGAATTCAAAGAGGCATGAATGGAGGGTGAAAGGGAGAAACGTGCCAAGAGGAAAGCACGTCAAGCCAACCCAGACCGGGACTGCCTTCCAGCTGGAAACCAATGTCCTCACTGTAGGAGAACATGTGGATCAAGAATAGGGCTCCACAGCCACCTACAAGCCCATCGCCAAGACACCACATCTGGAAGACCATCATCCTCAAGCTACTAGGGATTGCCTAAGTAAGTAACTCTTGTTGATGCAGCCCCAGAAATGCCTGCATCACAGTGATTGGAAGGAATCTCTGGTTTTAGCTTGCGGATTGCTAAAACTATAGATTCCTTGCACATTTACTATTTTCATGACAGGTGTCAACAATTCTACATTTGTGTATTCCATTTTTTTGCTCCTGAATATATATATATGTCTGTTTCAATTATACCTGCTGAAATTTATTTTGTTCGTATTGGCTCAGCTCTCTAATCGATCAAGATAATTTGGATTCTGATGCTGTCCTCTGCTGTATTAACTGCACCTCCTAATTTGGTGTCAGTTCATGCAGGGTGATAGGGAGAAGATGCTATGCGGTCCTGCAATGCTATAAATTCAATTATTGTCTTCTATTATGATCCTCACACATCACAATTGATTTTTCCCCCAGTGTCAATGGCCCAAAATTCCACATTTTTCTGTAAACAACTTTTGCCTTTGGAGTATTGAAAAAATACAAGCCTCGTTACTTTTAGTTTAGTTTAGCTTGGGCTGTCCAAAAGTGGCTTGATGGTTCCAATACTGTGTCCTTAGGTTTGATACCATCATAAGCTTTTATTACCTATCTTTGTTTTTCTGAGAGTAACTAAAAGGCACTTCAAAGGCTGTGTTGTACCCGCATATGAAAGGAATGGGAAGACTGAAGAAATGGCTAGAGGAATGTAGCTGCCAATTTATTAGCCCACACATTTTTTTTGTTTTCAAAATCCTAGGTAGCCTCACATAGGACAGAAACAGTCTTGATCTCAAAGGAATTTGCTTCTTCTCTTGCAAAGGGAATTTAAAATTTATTATCTCGACTTCATGGGTAAATCTGTACTGTAGCATTAATGCAGTTTGGCACCACTTCAACTGGCATGGCTCTATGCTATGGAATCATGGGAGTTGTAGTTTTGCATGGTCTTTAGTAGGCATGTGCAATCCATGGTTCTAAATGGTTCTAAAGTACTTACAAAACTAAAGTTCTGGTGGTGAAAATTAGGAGGTGCTGGTGCTTTGCTTCTACAGTGTTGCTAAAATTCTGATGGTGAAAATTTCAGAAATCTAACAAAACTTTCAAAATTTCATTATAAATGGCAGTTCCTAATTGGTTCTGTCATAAAAATCACCAATAATGAAATAATAATGAAATTTTGAAAGTTTTGTTAGAGTTCTGAAATTTTCACCACCAGAACTTTAGCAACACTATAGAAGCAAAGCACCAGCACCCCCTAGTTTTCACCACCAGAATTTTCGTTTTGTAAGTGCTTTAGAATCATTTAGAAGCATGGATTGCACATGCCTAGTCTTTAACCTTGTCTGCCAAAGAATGCTGGTGCCTCACCAAAGTACTATTTCCAGGATTCCATAGCATTAAGTCATGGCAGTTCAAGTGGTCAAAGGTGTAAAGAACCAGTGTAGTTTCTCATTGGAGAGGAATCCTTAACTTGGGGCGGCCATTGAGAAAACTCATGTCTGCAGATCATTTACAGAAATATTTAAAAGTACGAGTTCCAAATCCTTGGGAAACCACAGGCATTACATCTTTCTGTGGCCTAAACTGATAATCTATTCCTGATCTATTGTTTCGCAAGTTTCTGGTGGACTTCTGTTTGTATCTCATGGCTATTGTTTCCAGGAGGTCTTCAGTGGGTTGCCTTGTCAGAAATCTTTTTTAGACCCAAGTAGACAAGAGGTACACAGGCCTTTTGGGAACTCTAGCTTGTCACTGAGTCATCCATCAATGGTCAACTTCATTGTGTCATCCATCAATAATCAACTTAATTGAGTTATCAGCCAATGGTCAACTTCATTGAGTCATCATCCAATAGTCAACTTCATTGAGTCCTCCATCAATGGTCAACTTCATTGAGCCATCCACCAATGGTCAACAGCATTGAGTCATCATCTAATGGTCAACTTCATTGAGTCCTCCATCAATGGTCAACTTCATTGAGCCATCCACCAATGGTCAACTGCAATGAGTCATCATCTAATGGTCAACTTCATTGAGTCATCCACCAATGGTCAACTTCATGGAGTCATCCACCAATGGTCAACAGCATTGAGCCGTTCACCAATGGTCAACTTCATTGAGCATTCCACCAATGGTCAACTTCATGGAGTCATCCACCAATGGTCAACTTCATTGAGCCATCCACCAATAGTCAACTGCATTGAGCCATCCACCAATGGTCAATTTCATTGTGGGTTTTTTATTATATTAAATATTAAAAGGATTTGAAAAATGCAGTAAGAAATATATTATGTATGATATGAGCTAGATTTGAGCCAGATCAATGTATATGAAAGGAGAATAATGCTACTTATATACTTATTTGACCAATAGCTTTGCTGAAACAGTAGATAATGAGGAGAGCTATTAGCCATGTTGGAAAAAGATAGGAAAGCCGTCTTTTTATAAAGTGGGGGAAAATCTATTATCTAAGACTTATAAGCAATTAGGGTAGGTTGCTTTAAAAATGGGGGGAGAGAGCTAGAATAAAGTCTTTGATTAAGTATGTTAGCTGATAAAGGTGATTAAGACAACTGAAGTGATCTGATAAAATTACAAACCATTTATTGACTTTTTACAGAAAATAACTAGAAGTGTTAATAACTTCTGATCTTGAGTATTAGTATTGTATATAGATTTTTATAGAAAAGAGGCTGGCAGATATAAAAGAAGTTCAGATCGATTATATGTTTAAGTGCTAAAAAGACGTTGGGGAGTCATTTTTATTTTTCTGCCTTTTCTTTTTTCTTTATTCTGTTTCTATCTTTTCTTTGATTCATATATTATATTTACTTCTTTGGTTTTCTATATAGCACAAGTGGGGGGAAGGAGTAGTGGGAACTGGGTTGCTGTGAGTTTTCCAGGCTGTGTGGCCATGTTCCAGAAGCATTCTCTCCCAACATTTTGCCTGCATCTATGTCAGGCATCCTCAGAGGTTGTGAGGTATTTTGGAAACTAGACAATTGGTCACCTTGATTAGCATTTAATGGCCTTGCTGCTTCAAAGCTTGGCTGGTTACTGCCAGGGGGGATTCTTTGTTGGGAGGTGTTAGCTGGCCCTCATTGATTCTTGTCTGGAATTCCCATTGTTTGAGTGTTCTTTATTTCCTGTCCTGATTTGTTTTGTAATACTGGTAGTTAGATTTTGTTCATTTTAATGGTTTCCTCCTTTCTGTTGAAATTGTCCACATACTTGTGGATTTCAGTGGCTTCTCTGCTGTTTGACATGATGGCTGTTTGAGTGGTCAAGCATTTCTCTCTTCTCAAATAATATGCTGTGTCCAGCTTGGTTCATCGGGTGCTCTGCTATGGCTGACTTCTCATGATGAATTAGTCTGCAGTGCCTTTCCTGTTCCTTGATTTGTGTTTGGGCAATGCTGCGTTTGATGGTCCTTATGTAGACTTGTCCACAGCTGGATGGTATATTGTAGACTCCTGCAGAGAGGACCCCTCTTGTCCTTTGCCGATTGTAGCATTTGTTGGATATTCTTAGTGTGTCTCTAGATGGTTTGTAGGTTGTTTCCTCATTAGCTTCCCTATACGGTCAGTGGTTCCCTTGATGTATGGTAAGAACGCTTTCCCTCTGGGTGGATCTTTGTCTTTACTCTCATAGCTCGTTCCTGGTCTTGCAGCTCTTCTGCTGTCTGTAATGGGAATGTTGGCGTAGAATTGGATTTTAACCTTTGTGAAAATGTCGGGAATTGAGGTACAAAAGCACAAGGCAAAAGTATGAACAATATGAAAATAAACATGACACATTCCCTAACAAAGAAATATTTTAATTAAAAACCCTCCAAACAGAACATTTGATGCGGAATATATTGTAAAAAACAAACAAACACCCCATAATAAGAGAACACTTATGAGAGAAATTATATTATGTTCAAACAAATTCTAAATTATGAGCCGGTTAATAGTTATAAAAAATACTGTGCGGTTTACCAAGGTGAGGATTTGTTCTTGTGCTGGAAGTAACCAAGGATCCCTTAATGCTACCCCATTATTCCACTTTAACTGTGTAGCCAAGATGATGAAAACAATGAATAAGGAAGAACACACAAATAGTGTAGTTCGTTGCTTTTGCCTGAGTAGCAGGGAGAGCAAAATTCCCCTTTTATCACCTTCTGAATTAACTGATTAGTTTGAACTCCGCCTTCAATCCCTATATTGGGAGAAGAGCCTAATAGAAACAAACTCACAGAAGCTGATCTAAACTGAGAATAAAAGGGGAAGGTAGGAGGAGAAACGGACTGGGACATTTTAAAATCAGTTTAAAACAGAAAAAGAAACTATAGAGGATTAATTGAGATGGTCTCTGCCAAACTGAGAGCCCCCGGTGGTGCAGTAGGTTAAACTGCTGAGCTGCTGAACTTGCTGACCAAAAGGTTGGCAGTTCGAATCTGAGGAGCGGAGTGAGATCTCGCTATTAACCCCAGCTACTGCCAACCTAGCAGTTAGAAACATGCAAATGTGAGTAGATCAATAGGTACCGCTCAGGTGGGAAGGTAAAAACACGTCATGCAGTCATGCTGGCCACATGACCTAGAAGGTGTCTATGGACAATGCCAGCTCTTTGACTTAGAAATGGAGATGAACACCATCCCCAAGAGTCAGATGTGACTAGACTTTGTGTCAAAGGGAAACCTTTACCTTTACTTTATTGCCAAACTGAGGAAGTTGAAGGGTACACAATAACTATATTGAGTGAAATGACAACAACATCTGGAGGGCCACATAAAAATGACACAAGAGGGCCTGATTCGGCCTATGGACTTTGTGTTTGAAACCTCTACTCTACATCCTCCAATGTGATTTTATGTTCAGCTTCCAGAAGATAACCATAGTCATGACCTAGAAATTCCTAGAGAGATGCTCACTGAGGTTAAAAAAATTGCATTTGATTCATGGTTGTTCATTTTCATTGGGTCCTATGCCACACTCCAGTGAATGTAGAAGTTTCGCGGTAGACAAATTATACCAATCCAACAGGTCTACATAGTCAGGACTAAAAAGACCAGGATTTAGGTCTATATTTCCTTCTATTTCTTAGGGAAGTATCAAATGGAGAGGCACTTAAATGACCACAACACTTCTATAAGGTAATATTGAATGTAAACAGTAAACCCAGTACTTCAAGGTCTGTGCCCTCTTTTGCATTCATTTTCAAGTCGGTTAAATTTTTTACCCACGGAGGATGCTATTTTCAAATGCTTCTGTAGTTCAAAGTGGTGAATTCAGTCCTCCTTTTACTCCATACACTCACTGTAGAACCATTCAGAAGAGATGTTAACTGTGTCCTCACACAACAAGGCACAACGAGGTTACACAATTTTGACTCTGATGGTGTTACATTGTTTTAGGTCCAGAAGACAAAGTTTATAATCATGTTGGGCAACTTCTACGCTTTCCAATGTTGTACTGCACTTCCCATTGATCACATAGCCACTGATGGGTCTTGTAGTCCAGCAACATCTGAAGGGTCACATTGTCCATCCCTGATAGGTCACATTTGGGCTATAATCACCTCCTCAAAGGTCTGCGCAAATTCCTGAACACATCTGCCCCATTTAGCACATAGAAGAGGGGTTGAAATAAGGCAAGGCAATGTTTTCATCCTGCAAGGTAATTCTGATGGTGCAGTTCAACAACACAGCTACCTACAGGTTCCTTGTCCAAATACATTAAATCCTTTATTTTAAAAACCAAACAGCTGCCAAGATTGCTCTTCCTAAGTTTTAATAAGCTGGGCATTGTTAAAAATGTAGAAGTCTATCCGAAGGGACTGAGAAAGATGGGCAGACCAGCAGCATCCTGATTATTCTGTTGCATATGATGCACAAAGAAATGGCAGCAATCCTTGAAGAATAAGGAGAATTTGACATGTTTGTTCCAGAGGCTTATTCTTGACCTTGTGAAAAACCAGAGTAAAAAAAAGCAAAGGTCAAGGTGGGCTTTTGCTGATCCCAAAATAAGAAGGCAAAGTATTTTGGAGTGGAGAGAAGGCAGAAAACACTCCTTGTCCTTTGTGTTCCAACTATGTTCATGAGGTTGATTTAAGACATATCAAGAATGGAGAAATGTGTTCCATTTTCCATCCCTCTGTAATGGCATGAAGTATGTTCCCTTTGTCTGTATGGTAAGGTTCAACACAAGAGAGATCTTCCAGATCTTCCATTCTTTCTCTGTACTGGCACAATTCATCCCCACCTTCTATGATAGTCTGCATACTGCATTTAAAATTAGGTTCTGTTGGCTCTGTAAAGTTATAGAGCCCAACACTGTCCCACAAGTCCTGAGAGTCGTACAAAATAGAAATAAATATGCACAAGGTCCCTCTCGGTCTTCCCTCCAGGAGCTTTGGCAGAGGTCACTTGCTTGCAACTCGAGAAACCATCCATTCTAGACCAGCTGGGAGCCTGTAAGAAGGAGAGAGGAAATGAGAGTAGATTGCTAGGAAACAGAAAACTCACAGATCCCAGGGATCCACCAAAATTGCCTCTTATGTCCTCAAAAGGGGATAATCCAGCCCCCTGGTGTTTGGTCCTCAAGTATTTTGTAATTATTGCTAATTTAATACAATTAAATCAATGGTACAATTAATCTGAGACACTTTAGATCACTGGTTCAGCCACAGGAAGTTGCAAACCTTTGAACTTTTTCGGGTCCTGCTGATCAAAACCAATCAGAAACTCAGCATGGAGCCAGAGAGCTCTTTTACAGAGTTGGACCGCTGGTCCATCTGGTCCTGCTATTATTCTATTATAACTGGCAGCAATTCTGCAACAGAGAGTGTCAAACACTTAGCTCAGTTGGGAATTACAGTACAATAAAATAAAATACAAACAGCAAATAATAACACCAAATAAAATACACAAAAATAACAGCAAATGAAATAAACAGATGCAAAATAACATGATGAAGAAATAAAATAAAAGCACGGTGGGTGGGCCAAACGCACAGGGAAGCTTCAAGTAATTTTGCTCTGGAGTCCAATACATACACCTACCCAAATTGTTATTTTTCCCACAATTCCTTCTGCTTGAGAAAAACATTTAACATATATCTAGACTTGCCTACATTTAACAAAGCACTTCTTGCTTTTGGGAGCCTTCAAGAGTTTGTTTTTCGAGAGAGATGGGAGGTCCCTAAAACAGCAAAGAGCTGAATATATGCCACTTGGTTGTGCTTTTAAGTTGCCTGTTGACTTACATGAGCCCATGAATTTTCATTGGGGTTTACTTGGCAGGAAATATTCAATCCCATTGGGTTCTTGTAGGTTTTTTTTGGGCTACATGGCCATGTTCTAGAGGCATTCTCTCCTGACATTTTGCCTGCATCTATGGCAAGCATCCTCAGAGGTAGTGAGGTCTGTTGGAACTAGGAAAAAGGGTTTATATATCTGTGGAATGACCAGGGTGAGACAAAGGACTCTTGTCTGCTGGAGCTAGGTGTGAATGTTTCAACTGACCACCTTGATTAGCATTTGATGGCCTGGCAGTGCCTGGGGCAATCTTTCATTGAGAGGTGATTAGATGTCCCAGATTATTTCCTCTCTGTTGTTTTGCTGTTGTAATTTAAGAGTTTTTAAAATACTGGTAGCCAGATTTTGTTCATTTTCATGGTTTCCTCCTTTTTGTTGAAATTGTCCACATGCTTGTAGACTTCAATGGCTTCTCTGTGTAGTCTGACATGGTGGTGGTTAAGAGTGGTCCAGCATTCAATCCCATTGCTCACCCTTCTGAGCTCTCCCACAGACACATACTTCTCCATTTACTTATCTCACCCAAGGTTTTATCAATCTTACTCTGTGCATTTGGCCCGCCCACCATGCTTTTTATTTTATTTCTTAATCACATTATTTTGCATCTGTTTATTTCATTTTCTGTTGTTTTATTTTGATGTTATTATTTTCTGTTTGTATTTTATTTTATCTTGTTGTACAATTCTGGGCTTGGCCTCATGTTAGCCGCCCCGAGTCCCCTTTGGGGAGATGGTGGAGGGGTATAAATAAAGATTATTATTATTATTTGAAACACAACAAGATGAGTTCACAGCAAACAAGGTTACTCTGCTGGCTGTTGTATTGGATCACATGTCGGACACTTCCCAAGTGTGTGATGTATCGGCAAATAGTGTGTGCAGATCCCAGTAGGGTGGTCTTTTGCAGCTGACAGATGGTAATTTTGTCAGCATCGATTGTGTTTAAGTGCAGACCAAGGTCTTTAGGCACTGCACCTAGTGTGCTGATCACCACTTGGACCACCTTTACTGGCTTGTGCCAGAGTCTTTGCAGTTCAGTCTTTAAATCCTCATATCATGTCAGCTTTTCCAGCTGTTTCTCTTCAATCCTGCTGTCGCCTGGGATTGCAACATCGACAATCCATACTTTGCTTTTTAACACGATTGTGAGGTCATGAGTATTGTGCTCCAAAATTCTATCAGTATGAATTTGGAAGCTCCAGAGTAGTTTGACATGTTCATTTTCAGGCTTGTGATCCCACTAGTTCTTTGAGTATTATTATTATTATTATATATTGTTTGTATCAGTTCCCCTCTTTGAAATAAAGCCGTTAGTACGAGAATGGACAAACAACCTACCAGCTGTTAGGAATTGTGGGAGTTGAAGTCCAAAACACCTGGAGGACCGAAGTTTTCCCATGCCTGCTATAGTATCTAGCATTTTTTGAAAATCTGCCTGCTAAGTATTAAACAGGGTTGGCCCTACTAAGATTCCAAGATCAGAAGGGATCTGGAGTCTTCAAGGCAGGGAGTCCCAAACAAAGATCTGCAAGTGCGGCCCTTCAAGGTTTTACCAGGCCCTCTCCCTAAACTTTAGACTTAGGGTCACTCTAAATCTGAAACTACTTGAAAACACGCAACAATCCTAATTAGCAGGCCCACTGAAATACTGGTAAATTTATGTTGATGAAAATTGTTCTTCATTTTAAATATTTTAATGTTTTGGGGTTTTTTGCACTACAAATAAGATATGTGCAGTGTGCACAGGAATTCATTTGTATTTTTTAAAACTATAGTCTGGCTCCACAACAGTCTAAGTATTATGTATTCTCGAGGGCTTTCATGGCCAGAATCACTGGGTTGTTGTGAGTTTTCTGGGCTGTATGACCATGTTTCAGAAGCATTCTCTCCTGACATTTGGCCTGCATCTATGGCAGGCATCCTCAGAGGTTGTGAGGTCTGTTGGAAATTAGGAAAATATGGTTTATATATCTGTAGAATATCTAGGGTGGGAGAAATAACTTTTGTCTGTTTGAAATAGGTGTGAATGTTGCAACTGGCCATCTTGATTAGCATTTAATGGCCTAGCAGTTTCAAGGTCTGGCTTCTTACTGCCTGGGGGAATCCTTTCTTGGGAGGTGATTAGCTGGCCCTGACTGTTTCGTGTCTGGAATTCCCCTGTTTTTGAGTGTTGTTCTTTATTTACTGTTACGATTTTAGAGTTTTTGAATACTGGTAGAAACATTTTTGTCATTTTCATGGTTTCTTCCTTTCTGTTGAAATTGTGGACTTCAGTGGCTTCTCTGTGTAGTCAGACATGGGAGCTGTTAGAGTGGTCCAGCAATTCTCTGTTCTCAAATAAAGACTGTGAACCAGTCTTTGACTTAAAAGGTTTGCTTCAAGGTATTGAGAAGTGAAGTCTTTAGGTTCTCACCATGTAATTACCACTCCTAATCTAACTGGGAATGCCAGGAAATGAATTTGTTACTTTGTGCATGCAAAATATGAGTTCTATCTTTCTCAGAGTTCTGTCCTATTGGATATTTTTTCTTGAAACATGGATGGACTAGGTTTGCATTAGCCACCCAGGAGACCTCGAAGGGTCACATCCCCCTCAAAAAAACGTTTGGCCTCCTGGGGCCATTTTCAGCCAAGTGGAGATATTTTTGAACATCCGGAAATGACCAGTTCTGGGCCTGACCTTTTTTCCTCTCTCTTCCACTATAGCAAGGAGATCCATAGGTGGAGAACCTCAGTTATCTTCCAACCTCACTGGAAGGCCTACATATCCAGGACTACTCACCCTTCTCCTGTAAGAGCACAACATCCTTGAATGTGCCATGGATGGTCTTTGATGGAGCTCAAGGTTAGGAACTTTGAGATCTCAGAGGTAGACATGGAATTTTTGATATCCTGCTTGTTGGCAAATATCAGCACGGCTGCATTACGAAGGTCCTGCAGACAAAAGGAGAAGGTGCACTTTTCAATCTCTAGTCTCCAATAATTCCAAACTAGATTAACTACAGGAATGAACCCCCAATGGTGCAATGGATTAAACCCTTGTGCCAGCAGGACTACTGACCGACAGGAGAGCAGGTTGAGCTTCCCATGCAGGGACATGTTGACTCCACCTCCCCACACAGGGACATGAGAGAAGCTTCCCATAAGGATGGTAAAACATCAAACATCCAGGCATCCCCTGGGCAACATCCTTGCAAACAGCCAATTCTCTCACACCAGAAGCGACTTGCAGTTTCTCAAGTCACTCCTGACATGAAAAAAAACCTCCAAAGCACATCTTTCAGAGGCCAATATGCAAATCACTCAATATAATAATTATTATATTTGAACTGTATATACCTGTCCCATTTAGCATATTTTTCAGAGAGTCTTCAAATAAAGCCTAACAAACCTTGCTCAACATCTTATTCTAGTATGGAGGGAGAAAACCTGATCTCTCCCTTAACATTTATCTTTTCCCTTCTTCTTTACATATTGGCTTTCATTTTGTCATCCTTCAGGGAACATGAGACTGGACTTTACATCCCGACAGCAAAGGATGACGGGATCACATCAAACAACACCTGGATGGTGATATGTTCTCTTTATTCTTGGGTCTATGACACTAAAAACACACACACACTGGAAAGTGGTATACAGTGTTCTCTCACTATATAGCAGTTAGCTTTCTGTGGTCTCGCTGTTTTGCGGGGAAGGAACAGGGGGGAAAGGAGGAGAAGGAGGGCTTGCTGCCTTTCCAAAGGTTCGGAGTTGTGCAAGCTGAAGACACCAGAAGATCACACAGGAAAGGATGAGGTGGAAAAGGAGGAGGAGGAGCTCTTGCTTCCTTTCCTTCCCCGCCCGAGCATCCCTACTTAGCGGATTTTCATTTATTGCGGGTGGTACTGGAATGGAACACCCACAATAAGTGAGGGAACACTGTACTTAGTTCAATTTTCCTGAATATTTGCATATATTATATTATGTACGGAACCACTGACTCAAAAATTTAGTAAAAAAGGATTAGGTGAAATCCATGCCTTCCTATATCCAGCCTCTGCTTATAAGCCTCCAAAGAAGGAGCCTCCACCACACTCCCTGGAGGCTCCTTCTTTGGAGGCTTATAGCTGCTGAACAGCTCTCATAGTCAGGAAGTTCTTCCTAATGTCCACATGGAATCTCCTTTCCTGTAGTTTGAAGCCATTGCTCCAGGGCAGCAGAAAACAAGCTTGCTCCCTCCTCCCTATGACTTCCCCTCACATATGATGGCCATGTATAAATATGTGAGAGAAAGTCATAGGAAGGAGGAGCCTCTCAGCCTTCTCTTCTGAAGGCTAAACATCCCCCAGCTCTTTAAGCTGCTCCTCATAGGGCTTGTTTTCCAGGCCCTTGATCATTTTAGTCATCCGCCTTTGGGCTCATTCCAGCTTGTCAACACCTCCCTTCAATTGTGGTGCCCAGAATTGGACACAGTTCCTCTTGCTATTGCTGTCCAGTAGCAACACACATCCCCTTCTATTTCTATTTTTTGTATGAAAAAGTCTATCCCAGGTTACGGATGGACAATTGCACACCAGCAAGTTTCAGCATATGCAAAGTCACATGAGTCCCTTTGGGGAGACAGAACAGAATATAAATAACATTATTATTATTATTATTAATATTATTATTATTATTATTATTATTATTATGACACTTCCAGCTGTCATTTTAGTTGATTTCTAGAGACAACCCCTCCCCCTTTTGGGGGGTGTATCGGTGGTGGGTTTGCAGGGCTAGGGCAAAGAAAAATGTAATATTTAGGGGGGACAAATTGCCTAAGAATTTTCCCTTAAATTTTAAAGAAAAGTGTTGCTGGAGAGCTTTTCTGGGAGTGGGGTGCTATAGCCAATACTGTGCTCCCCCACCCCAGTAGATCAGTCTTCCACGTTTCTCACAGAAATTGTCACTGTATCAGCACTTTACTATTGATAGTTGCTTCCGGTTAAAATAAGCACACTCGTAATCCTCCCTTGATATCTCAGCAACTCAGGCATTTCAGGATGTTTTACATCAGATACCAATACTGAAGATGGTTTTGTTTTATCATTGTTATGTGGCTTTATCTATCCTGTATCTGTTTTTAAGCTTGCTGTGAGCTGCCTTGAAGCTCAATAAATAAATAGCTAAGTTGGCTTTCTACCTCCAGAAAGATTTTATCACAAGGTAACATTAAAAAATGAGACACCCTTCCAATTGATCTACCATCTCAAGACTTTTGTATCTTTTGCTGCCATCTGTAGACTAGGTCTGAGACAGCAACAGTCTGGTGATTTTATCTCATCTAACATTATAGGTAAAGGCAAGTCTAGTCAAGTCTAACTCTGAGGGGTGATGCTCATCCTCATTTCTAAGCCGAAGAGACGGCGTTGTCCATAGACACCTCCAAGGTCATCTGGCCAGCATGACTGCATGGAGCGCCGTTACTTCCTGCAGCAGTGGTACTTATTGATCTACTCACATTTGCACATTTTCAAACTGCTAGGTAGGTTCACATTAATACACAATCTGCAAAATTGTTTCAGAATAATATTGGTTGAGCATTCCTTATCCAGAATTCCAAAAATCCAAAATACTCCAAAATTCAAACTCATCAATATTGGTGACTGAGATAGTGACACCTTTGCTTACTGATGATTAAATGTATCCAGACTTTATACATGAACAAAATTATGAAAAATGAGGCATAAAATCACCTTCAACTATATGTGCAAGGTGAAATATAAATTAATTTCACATTCAAACTTGGATCCCATCTACACGATATCTCACTATGTGTGTACAAGCAGTTCCCGAGTCACAAACATCTGAGTTATATTGGACTCATAGTTAAGAATGAGGGTGAGAGAACAGGAAGTGAGAGCAATCTACTCATAGGAAGGGAAATGCACTCCTGAAAGAGTCATCATGGGGAAAATGTGCCTCAACTGAAGCTTGATCACCAATCCTTGTTTCCACAACAAGCCAAATTTGTCAAAATTCAATTATCACAGGGATAGAAAGTGAGGTAAAATCTTCTGAACAGGGGCACAGAGAGCAAAACAAACATCACATGAGTGTTAACCTTTCCCTATGCTAGATAAGGTAAAGGTTTTCTCCTGACATTAAGTCCAGTCACGTTCGACTCATCTCCATTTCTAAGCCGAAGAGCTGGCGTTGTCCATAGACTCCTCCAATGTCATGTGGCCAGCATGACTGTATGGAGTGCTGTTACCTTCCCGCCAGAGTGGTACCTACTGATCTACTCACATTTGCATGTTTTCGAACTGCTAATTTGGCAGAAGCTGGGGCTAACAGCTCACGCCGCTCCCTGGACTCAAACTTGCGACTTTTCAGTCAAAAAGTTCAGCTCAGTGCTTTAACCCACTGTGCCACTGGGGACTCCTAATGCTATCCAATCCTAAAATATTGGCTGGAATTACACTTAAAAATGTATCTGTTCTGACTTACATACAAATCCAATTTAAGAACAAACCTACAGAACCTATCTTGTTCGTAACTTGGGGACTGCCTGTATATGCAGATACAGGTATTCCAAAATCCGGGGGGGAAACATCCAAAATCCCAAACACTTTTGGTCTCGAGCATTTCAGACAAGGGATACTCAACCTGTATCCAAGTTCTCCCTTAATGCTTTATGGAAGAACTTGGATACAGGTTGAGTATCCCTTGACTGATACTTCTCTTTGCATCCTGTGGCAAGTAGACTCACCTCATGCGCCAGCATCTTGTACAGCTCCTCTTTTGTCACGGTCAACCGTTCACGGTCCGTGCTGTCGATCACAAGAATAACGAACTAAAGAAAGGAAGGAAGTGATATGTTTAGGAGTTATCTACGCAACAGAATCCAGGCTAAGAAAAGGGGATGCCAACAGCAGTTTGAATTCCCCAAGTTTCAATCCATATATAACCAGAATAGCACCCTCCATGTTCAAGCAGCAAGTTTAGGGAAAAACAATGTTTGCAGAAGTACAGAAGTATGGTAAAGCCTTCATACTTGAGAGATCCAGGCTCACATTCCCACTAAGCCATGGAAATCACTGGGTGACTACTAGGCATGGATAGAGCCGCGTCGGATTACTTGTTACTCATAATAGTTTCATTAAAGTTACCCTTTTTAAGCGATTTCGAAGCATTTCAAAAACCCAGAAGTCCCTTTGCCCTTCCGAAGCTTTCTCCACCATTTTTGTTATGACTCAGGAAGTGAGTCAAAAATTTTCAGCCCTCTGGGAGGCTGGAGGTTTCGGCACTGGCAGCCATTGCTGTAGGAGCACATGGCTCAGAGGCTCATTGGGAGCCGGGAAGGGAAGGGAGAAGGGAGAGGGGAAAGAGAAAGACATAGACTAAGGGAAGGGAGGTTGGAAGAAGAGCATGGCGGGCAAGCAAGCAAGCAGAAAGGAAGAAGGGCAGGGAGAAGGGCTGCCTGCCTGGCTGGGCAGTGGGCACAGCCTGCCTTGCCGCTTGTGTGTTGTTGCTGTTGGGGTTTGCATCGGGTGGGAACAGCAAGGGTAGTGTGTGTGGGTGAGTGGCATGGGTGGGAGTAACACAGAGGAACCAAAGCACTCACTCCAACATTTTAAAAGCCAACATTGTAACTGGTATCTATGGCCTCAGTGTTTTTCAGTTTGTGTTGCACATTGCCTCAAAAGAACTAGATTTCCCATCAATTCAAGCCACTCTTTGAACACAAACTCTCCTTCCCAAAGTAGTGAAATCATCTTCCAAGGCAAAACAGGCAGGGCTGTTTCTTATTTTCTTTGTTTGCTGTGAGTTTCCTAAGAAGACACTAGAAATCCCATACACTGCACAATCACGTCCGCCATTAACAAAGCGATTCGGAAATTTCGGGAAGGTAAAAAAAAATTGGGAAAAATTCAAAATTCAGTTCCGAATTAAACCACCAGCGCCCACTACATCTGAAACAAGTTTTGAACCATTTTTTTTGGCTCAACCAAGCCTAGTGACTACAGACTAGTTAGTCAGTGAGTCTCCCTCCTTCCCTCAACATGATCTGCCTCTGAGGTGTTGCAAGAAAAAAGTGGAGAATATAGGAAAATTCCAGCAATCTCTCCTCTCTACACTTGCTGTTAGAGCAATAGGGGTTTTCGATAGAACAGGGCTTCTTGCATGTCAGATCCTCCTGTTTATTTCTCTAAACCTCCACATTTGCTCTTATCTTCTTTTGAAATGCATGGTCATAAATACTTTGAAAGTAGACCATGTAATCGTGTTCCCTTCCTTGGGGCTTTTGGTTATATACACTCCTCTCCCTTTTCAGTCTTCTGTTTTCTCTCTCTGTTCCTCCTCTAATCTCTGGCCATGTTTTCCTCCTCTGTTGAAAGGTGGTAACTTGAAGACTTACCTAATCTTTTCATTAGTTAGCAAGGATGTAGATTCCCCTTTGCATATGTAAATGCAAAAACATTAGTTAACTTTTAAGTTTGTAACTTTCAACTTGTCTGCCTTGTTTGTTTTTTGGAATCAACTAGGGAACTTGGGAAAGCAACATAGAGAAATGGAGGCATGCTTGTGGACAATTTCAACAGAAAGGAAGAAACCACGAAAATGAACAAAATCTGACTACCAGTATTTTTTTTAAAAAAAAAACCTCTAAAATCATAACAGTGAATAAAGAACAACATTCAAAAACAGGAGTATTCCTGACAAGAAATAATCAGTCCCAGCTAATCATCTCCCAACAAAGGATTCCCCAAGACCAGTGGTTCTCAACCTGGGGTCCCCAGATGTTTTTGGCCTACAACTCCCAGAAATCCCAGCCAGTTTACCAGCTGTTAGGATCTCTGAGGGTTGAAGACCAAAAACATCTGGGGACCCCAGGTTGAGAACCACTGTCCCAGACAGTAAGAAGCCAGACCTTAGAACAGCTAGGCCATTCAAGGCTAATCAACATGGCCAACTGAAACATTCACATATACCTCCAACAGACTTCTTTCTCCCACCCTGGACATTTCTGTGAGTTGTAGACCCAAACCACTTGGGGACCCACAGGTTGAGAACCACTGCATTAGAGCATATCATATAGTTGGAAAACACCCCAAGGGCCATCCAGTCCAATGCAGTAAAATACAATCAAAGCACTCCTGACAGATGGCCATCCAGTCTCTACTTAAAAACTTCCAGAGAATGAGACTTTACACATTAAAATGTGGCATATTCCACTGATGAACACCTATTAGAGTCAGGAAGTCCTTCCAAATGTTTATGTGGAATCTCTTTTACTGCAATACCTTTGAAATATGCTAACTATATGTCCCTGAGTGACCCATATTCTTCTTGCATCCCTGTCTGCTTTATGAGGACACTCCCCTGCCTTACAAGGCTGTTGTACAGGTTGCGTAAAACAGCATAAGTGAAGTGGCTTGAACACTGGGCATCTTGGAACAAATTGCATCTGACAGCTGAACTTTTAAACTTCCAGAAACTTACCCAGCGAAACCTCAGCAAAGCATGGGGTGGAGAGTGGATGGACAACAGAATTGTCCATCCAATTCAACAACAGTCTGAGCTGCCTGAGACCAACTCATCCTTTGTCAAATTCCATCTTAAGTATCAAGCAAACCAAACTTTAATATGGGCAACGGGATAAACACGTAACATCACACTTAAGGGAAGAAGGACAGTTTACGGGGTGCAAGACAAACTGGGGGACTGTGCTGCTACGACAGTTTCCCAATGTCTGCTGCATGAGGCGGTTGCTTCATTCTATCTAATGGCAGGGCTGACTCCAGAAGCATCCATTTAAAATTAAACGTAATACACGGATACAATAAAACCTCATATATTTGGCCACTTCAGCATTCTGGGTATGTAGGGGTGGACCTGTCTATGAACTTTCTGTATTCCCTCCATAAGCAACACATCATCCATCCAGTTTTTAAAAGAGGGCTCCACATTTAAGAAGAGATGTAGTTTAGATAGAATGTCTTGTTTTGTTGAAGTTCTCCTTGGGCAAAAGCAGCCGAAGGGAGGGAGGAGTGTGAAATGAGAGAAAAGAAGAGGGAAAACACATTCCATATTGCGAAATGTCAAGAATGTGCTCCTGGCAGACAAAGGAACTTGTCTCTACTTGGCTTTGGCAAAGGAGAGAGAGAGAGAGAGAGAGAATGACTCAGAGAGATCTCAAGTCTAGAGCTATCTATCTATCTATCTATCTATCTATCTATCTATCTATCTATCTAGTTCGTTCTCAACAAATTAGGATAAAAAACTAGCCAAGGACTCAGGAAGTGCAGAAAAGTAATTTTAGAACTACAATGACCAGAATCCCCTGGTAAATGTGATTTGCAACATCCTCTTAGTCATGGTTTTTGGGGTCACATCTAGTTATGGCAGTGCTAATGCCACGGGCCCTTAATACAGTTCCTCATCTTGTGGTGACCCCAACCATAAAATTATTTTTGTTGCTAATTCACTGTAATTTTGCTATTTTTATGAATCATGATGTAAATATCTGATATGCAGGATGTATTTTCATTCACTGGATTAAATAGAACGCAAATACCCGATATGTCCAAATTTGAATACTGGTGGGGTTTGGGGAGGGACTGATTTTGTCATTTGGGAGTTGTACTTGCTGGGATTTATAGTTCACCTATAATCAAAGAGGATTCTGAACTCCACCAATGATGGAATTGAAACATATATCGCACACAGAACTCCCATGACTAACAGAAAATACTGGAAGGGTTTGATGGGAACTGACCTTGAGTTTTGGAGTTGTAGTTCACCTATTTCCAGAGTGCACTGTGGATTCAAACAATGATGGATCTGGACAAAACTTGGCATGGATACTCAATATGCCCAAATGTGAGCACTGGTGGAGTTTGGGGAAAATAGACCTTGACATTTGGGAGTTGTAGTTGCTGGGATTTAAAATTCATCTACATTCAAAGAGCATTCTGAACTCCACCAACTATAGAATTGGGCCAAACTTCCCACACAGAACCCCCATGACCAACAGAAAATGCTGTTTTTCCTGGTGGTCTTTGGTGACCCCTCTGACACCCCCTTGCAACTCCCCAGGGATCTCGACCAGCAGGTTGAGAAATGCTGGGTTATGGAATTGTAAGTCCAGCTTGTGACATTGTAACTACTGAAGAGGATGCCAGCTATAATTTGTAAAATACTTCAACAATGTCATGACTAGTAGCATCTGTAACTTTTTAATGTAACACATTTTTCATGTGTCCTAAAACACGTGTGTGCTCTGTTTTGGATTTTTTATTATTATTTGAAGAAAATGTAAAACTAAATTATTTCTAATGCCTTGCTAACTCTTCAATCATAAATGATATATGTCGTGTTTAAAAGACAGGCTGACTCAAACTCACCTCTGTGTTGGAATAGTAGGTGTTCCAAGTCGATCTCAGTGTCTCTTGCCCACCAATGTCCCACATCAGGAAGTGCGTTTTGCGCAAGACAATTTCCTCCACATTGCTGCCAATTGTAGGTGATGTGTGGACAACTTCATTCATTAGGCTGGAGGGAGAGCAGACCAGTAAGTAGCTATACAACCCACAATCCATTTCTGGTCTTTTCCACATACAAATAAGGCACAATGAAGAAAGACACAGGCTTCTTGCACATCTCTAATCCCCAATCAGTAGAACGTAGGGTAGACACTGGAAATCTTAGGCCAACAACTGTCTTGATTCTAGTGAAGCTGATCAGCGATAACCAACGGGCAGTGAGATATATTTTAGGCACCATATTTTCTATTCATGGTTGTCAATCCAACCTGGCACTCTCCAGTTATTTGGATTATAAACTACATAGTTGACTATTAGTCATAATGGATGAAGACTTGTATTGATTGTAGTCCAAAATATTGATTTCTAAAGCCAAGTTATCTTCCAATTCAGACCAATATCCTAGCAACGCACTCTATATGGAGTTGCCTCTGAAGACTGCCTGGAAGCTCCAACTAGTCCAATGCTCAGCAGCCAGGTTGCTCACTGGAGCGGAGTACAGGGAGCGTACAACGCCCTTGCTATGCCAGCTCCACTGGCTGCCTATTAGCTTCCGAGCACAATTCAAAGTGCTGGCTTTGGCCTATAAAGCCCTGAACGGTTGTGGCGCAGTTCACTTGTCCGAACGTATCTCCTGCTATGATCCACCTAGGACCCTAAGATCATCCGGGGAGGCCCTGCTCGTTGTCCCCCCATCATCGCAATCGCGTTTGAGGACAAGGGACGGGGCCTTTTCTGTGCTGGCCCCTTGGCTTTGCATCTCTCTCCCAAGCGAAATTAGATCTGCTCCATCTCTCCTGACCTTTAGGAAACAAGTGAAATCCTGGCTATGGGATCAGGCCTTTGCAGACTAGGCTAACCTGCTAGCAAAGCGATGGCTTTAATGGACTACTTTTAGGATGATGACTTAAATTGGCGACTGTTTGCCTCTTTGTTTTTATACTGTTTTATATTGTTTTTATTTAAATTGTATATTTATGCTTTTGGCTGTGGAGACCATGGTGTGCCAGTTGCTAGTGCCCCGAGTCCTTCTGCGGAGGTCGAGATAGGACAAGATACAAATGCCCGAAATAAATAAATAATTTTTTTTGTTATTATTAAGAGAGAGAGGAAATCCACTCAAGGTTTATTCCAAGGAAAAAAGAAAACAAGGATTTTTAAGATGCTCAGCTGCAATATATGAACAGAGTCCACAGAAACCTGTACCATGAAAAATTATTTTACATATCTTTTTAAAATAGAAGATGTATGATACATATACATATACATATACATATACATATACATATACATATACATATATATATATATATATATATATATATATATATATATATATATATATATATATATATATATATAATTGAAATGTGAAGCAAGATGCACAGTATTTGTTTATTTACTCTATTTACATGTACTTATTTAATAGGAATGTATCTCCCAAGCAGCAAATTTCCACCAGACAAGGGACATGTACCAGTGACATTAAAGCACTTGTACACTACTTTGATTTTCATAAAGAAATGCACGTTCATCATTTCACTCTCTCAAACTGAAATCAATTGAAAGTGGCACTCATTCTGCATTTAAAAAGCAGAAGCTAAAACTGCTGTGTTATAGAAAGCTATGTATCTGATAAGCTCTAATAGGGGAAACAGTGTAAGATCAGGTATGGACAAACTTCATCCCTCCAGGTGTTTTGGACTTCAACTCCTACAATTTTGGTAGGCTGTTAGGAATTGTGGGAGTTGAAGTCCAAAACACTTGGAGAGATAAAGTTTGCCCATGCTTGGACATGAATCCTGATGTAAGAAGGTTCATATCCATTAGTTCACAAGAATCAGGGCCTTCTTGGTAGTGGCAGTCCCCCCTCTAGAGAAAATAAGCAGACCTTATTTATTTATTTATTGATCTATCATTGTCATTAGAGCATTTTTAAAAAATCTACTTTTCCAGTAGCCAGTGTAGTAGTTTGTGTGTTGGACTACAACTCTGGTGTAGAGTTGGAATTCCCACTCAGCCATGGAAACCCACTGGGGTAGCTTTGTGCAAGTCACATTATCTCAGCCTCTCAGGAAGGCAAAAGCACACCCCTCTAAACAAATTATTCCAAAAAAATCACAAAGGGGTTTGCCTTAGGGTTGTCACAAGTCAGAAACAACTTGAAGGCACACAACAATTTATGTAGCCAGTGCTTAATATTTGCTCATTTCTGCTATATAATTGCTATTTGTATTTCCTTTTAATAGCTAGTTGTAATGCATTGTAACTAACCAGTATCCTGTGCTGAGTAAAGAGTTCCATCTGTAGAATAAGGGCCCTTCCACACAACCATATCAAGGCAGAAAATCCCCCAATATCTGCTTTGAACTGGGATATCTGAGTCCACACTGCTATATATCACAGTTCAATGCAGATAATGTGGGATTTTATTCATGTGTGGAAGGGGCCTAAGATGATTTCCACATATTGCCCTTGCCAGGCTATTTTGAAGAGTTTCCTCCAACCCTCCAAAGTCAGAGGGTTGGTGTCAGGACTGAAGGAATTGGGTTACAGGGGAAAGGAAGAACTTCCAAAGATCATTTCCGCAGCCACTGTACTTGGGAACCATGTTAGTAATATGAGCAGGGACTTTAAAGTCTCATCAGTATTGGTTAAACCAATGGTGGGCAACTGCAGAACGCTAGGAGTTTGGTGGGTGGCATTGATCCATTATCCTCCTCCCTAGCAAAAAAATAAATAAAAGGATTGATCCCTAAAATGCGCACAAATATTTTCTAAAAGAGGTCTTTTTATAATGCCTTGCTAATGTATTGGTCACAAGAACATCTAGGACTGAGCATATTACATCCATATTAAAGTAACTCTACTGGTTGCCAATTACTTTCCAGGACAAGTACAAAGTGCTGGTTGTGACCTTTAAAGCCTCACATGGTTTGGGTCTAGGTGGTATGGCTGTAAAAGTACTTTTATGCTGTTTTGGAATTGGCATCAGTCATCTTGGTTTCCCCCTTGGTTTTGTGGTTAATGCTGTACTTAGGTAGCAGAAAGATCTCGCTTCCGTTTTTGTAATTAAAACATGTAAAATGTGCTTCAAAACGTGAGATATCTGTGTCACTGTTTGGCTGTGACTTTTAAGTCTCAACTCTACCTAACCCCATCTCTCCCAAGTTCCTTCCATTTGAACATTTTTAATGGCAAACACAATGAATGGAAGCAAAAATTCCAAGTAGAGAGGAAGGAGATACTCACAACTGGTAGAGGATGGTGGTTTTTCCAGCATTGTCCAAACCAATAATGATCACCTTATGCTCTGGAGACAGAGAGAGAAAACATGCATTCTGAATAGCTTGCCACGTATGTAGAAAACACAGAGATAAGCTAGAATGATGTAGTGATGGGGACCAGGATTCAAATCCTGCATGGCCATGAAAACAATTACATAAGTTTAGAAAACTCTGTTAGGATCACCTTAGGGTCTGCAGAATTCTGGGGTTTGTAGTTTAGTGAGGCTGTAAAAGGCTCCTCCCTAAACTACAAACCCCAGAATTCTGCAGGAGGAAGCAATCGGATTTAAAGTGGATTCATTCTCTCGTATGATGAGGTCCTAGGCAGTGTTTCTCAACCTGGGGGTCAGGACCCCTGGGGGGGGGGTCGTGAAGGTGTTTCAGAGGGGTCGCCAAAGACCATCAGAAAACACAGCATTTTCTGTTGGTCATGGGGGTTGTGTGTGGGAACTTTTGCCCAATTTTATCGTTGGTAGGGTTCAGAATGCTCCTTCATTGTAGGTGAACTCTAAATCCCAGCAACTACAACTCCCAAATGCCAAGGTCTATTTTCTCCAAACTCCACCAATGTTCACATTTGAGCATATTGAGTTTCTGTACCAAGTTTGGTCCAGATCCATCATTGTTTGAGTCCACGGTGCTCTCTGGATGTAGGTGAACTACAACTCCAAAACTCAAGGTCAATACCCACCAATGCCTTTCTGTATTTTCTGTTGGTCATGGGAGTTCTGAGTACCAAGTTTGGCCCAATTCCATTATTGGTGGAGTTCAGAATGCTCCTTGATTGTAGGTTAACTATAAATCCTAGGAACTACAACACTCAAATGAGAAAATTACACACACACCACAATCCCACCACTATTCAAATTTGGTCCAGTGAATAAAAAAAACATCCTGGATATCAGATATATACATTATGATTTGTAACAGTAGCAAAATTACCGTTATACAATAGCAACAAAAATAATTTTATGGTTGGGGGTCATCACAACATGAGGAACTGTATTAAGGGGTCGCAGCATTAGGAAGATTGAGAAACACTGTTCTAGATGTCACTTAACAGTCTGTACTTTATAACGGCAATGAGTAGTAGCTTTTGCGCTTGTGGGAACTATATCTGTTCTGTGTCTATGTTCATAATCTAAATGAGCCATTGAAGCTGCTAACCCTCATCTCCAAAACAGGTCCAGCACCTCTAATAACTTCTTGAAAGATCAACCTAAACCATACAATGGATTCACCTGTTGCACTCCAGGCTTGGGAACCCCTATGATCACAGCACCACACAAGAGTCCAGAGTGTAAGCAAACAGTTTATTGTAGAAACACGTAAAAAGTATAGGCAAAAAGCAGGAATAAAGAAAGTAAAGGTATAATCCAAAAAGGTTTAACATTAGATGATAATCCAAACAGTAATCCAATCGTCTCATGCAGATCACAAGGTAACACAGCTCAGGAATAGTGAAAAAGTCATAAGGACAGCGTAAGTCCATAAGCAAAAGGTATACTTATAGTAAAACTTGAGTAGGAATACTCAAGTATTCACAAAACCAAAGACTTGACTGAAAACAAGAACCAGAGGACTCAGGCCTAGCTTCTGACTTGAACGCTATGTTGCCTGAACTAACTCTTAGATAAACAACTTGCTAATTAATAGGCACCCATGAAGTCATGTTTTTTTCCCCATGAAATCTCTCCTTAACTTTCCTATGTAAGCGCTCAGATCTACGATGCCTATTTTCTGTTCTGATCTGTAAACGAAGACATTTGTTGATCTCCATAACTCCGGGTGTTTTCTCCTGAGAGTCTTCTGTATCACTTATCTCTTCGGCCAACTCCTTATCTAATGTTGCAGTTTCTGGCTCCTCTGACTGACCTTGAGGCCCTGTAGTTTCCAAGTCAGATTTCTCACAGAGAGAAGCATCATTCCCAACTTGAGTCTTCATCACTTTGAATCCCAGGAAATCCCACATCAATCAACCCATTAGCCCCAAGAGTCTCAGGCTGATCACCATCACCACCCACTGACATGGGTGTCACCAGTTGCAAATACTTAATGGTCCCATTCCATCTTTACATAATCTTGTGTCCTTTATCTCTATGGTGATTACAATTAACATTTATTTATTTATTTATTTATTTATTTGCAGTATTTATATGCCGCCTTTCTTACCCCTGGAGGGACTAATTTATCCTTTATCCCCATCTCAAGTCATTCCATGCTATATAAGCACTTCTATATTCCTAATATGAAGAAAACAGAAGGGTCGGGTATTCAAAACACTAATGCTCAGTGGTGGCCCCTCGCCTCTGGAATGCCCTTCCAAGGGAAATAAGACAGGCCCCATCCCTCCTCTCCTTTCGTAAGAGCTTGAAGACCTGGGAGTTCCAACAAGCCTTTGAGAATGACCAGTTCTAGTCCAGCCCAAACACTGTTGAATATGGCTTTGCACTCTTAGCTATTACCCCGGTCATCCCCCTAATAGGCTCTGGAAATGAGCAGTCCAAGAGCCGTACCTGCTATTGCCATTAGCCTGTTAGAGCACTGTTCTTAATTCCCGGCCCCCTCATATTTTAAGTTTGCACTAGCCTTGGCCCGGCTTTTAATTGCTCTGAATAGGCAGGAATATTTTTAATATACATGTGTTATTATGATAATTTTATGCTTATGTTGTTTTGTTAATTTTATGTTATGCTGTTTACTTTGTATGTTTCGGTGATGTACTTGGAAACCGCCCTGAGTCCCCCTCGGGGAGATAGAGCGGTATATAAATAAAGTGTTATTTTATTATTATAATGCTGACCAAGGGAAAGAAAGAAAAAGACTTGGAGCATGTACAGGTTTCAATTTTAAACTCACATCTTTTTATTGTCTGTCCCTTAACTAATAAAAAACCCTAATAATAATAATAATAATAATCTGAATGTATTATCCGCCTCTCCCTACAACTCAATGTGGGATACAATACAATTAAAACAAGAGATAAAACAATATTAAAAGACATACAAGATAGTAAATGGCAAAGGTTTGACATTAAGTCTAGTCATGTTCGACTCTGGGGAGGGGGGTGCTCATCTTCATTTCTAAGCCAAGGAGCCGGCGTCATCCGTAGACACCTCCAAGGTCATGTGGCTGGCATGACTGCATGGAGCACTGTTACCTTCCCGCAGAAGCGGTACTGTTGATCTACTCACATTGGCATGTTTTCGAACTGCTAGGTTATACACAGAGTTAAAATACAAGTTAAAATCCACTGGTGAATTGCAGATGAAAAGTGACCAGGTAGGCTGGCAGAAGAGATGGGTCTTCAACTGTGTTTTAAATTCCAAAAGCAAAGTATGGATCAAGAGGGAAAAACTAAAGCTTTATTTTCACATCTCTAACAACACAGCAAAAGTCTAAATCAGGCATGGGGCAAATTTTGGCCCTTGAAGTCCAAAACACCTGGAGGGCCAAAGTTTGCCCCATGCCTGGTCTAAAGGAATGCCAATAATAATAATAATAATAATAATAATAATAATAATAATAATAATATCGAACTGCAAAGACTCTGTCACAAGCCAGTCAAGGTGGTCCCAGTGGTGATTGGCACACTGGGTGCAGTGCCTAAAGACTTTGACCTGCACTTAAACACAATTGGCGCTGACAAAATTATCATCCGCCAGTTTCAAAAGGCCACCTTACTGGGATCTGCATGCATTATTTGGGAATGTGTTTGACGTGTGATCCAATACAACAGCCAGCAGAGTGTCTGCTGTGGACTCATCTTGTTGTGTTTCTAAGTAATAATAATAATAATAATAATAATAATAATAATAATAGGAAAAACTCAGCCGCTATCAAGACCTCAAAATCGAACTGCAAAGGCTCTGGCATAAGCCAGTACAGGTGGTCCCAGTGGTCATTGGCGCACTAGGTGACATACCAAAAGATCTCAGCCGGCATTTGGAAACAATAAACATCAACAAAATCACGATCTGTCAACTGCAAAAGGCCACCTTACTTGGATCTGCGCAAATCATTCGAAAATACGGAGCCCCCAGTGGCGCAGTGGGTTAAACCCCTGTGCCGGCAGGACTGAAGACCGACAGGTCGCAGGTTCGAATCCGGGGAGAGGCAGATGAGTTCTCTCTATCAACCCCAGCTCTTCATGCGGGGACATGAGAGAAGCCTCCCACAAGGATGATAAAAACATCAAATCATCCGGCGTCCCCTGGGCAGACGGACAATTATCTCACACCAGAAGCAACTTGCAGTTTCTCAAGTTGCTCCTGACATGACAAAAGAAAAATCGAAAATACATCACACAGTCCTAGATGCTTGGGAAGTGTTCGACTTGTGATTTTGTGATACGAAATCCAGCATATAGATCTTGTTTGCTGTGACATACTGTGCTTTTGTATAATAATAGAACAGGATACATGCCTTCTTTACATTGGGTTGTTGTAGGTTTTTTTCGGGCTATATGGCCATGGTCTAGAGGCATTCTCTCTTGACGTTTCGCCTGCATCTATGGCAAGCATCCTCAGAGGTAGTGAGGTCTGAGTATGCTTGCCATAGATGCAGGTGAAACGTCAGGAGAGAATGCCTCTAGACCATGGCCATATAGCCCGAAAAAACCTACAACAACCCAGTGATTCCGGCCATGAAAGCCTTTGACAATACATTGAACTTCTTTATATTTCTTTCTATCCTATTAGGAGGAAAAACAGCTACAAATGGAATTTATGTTAGCTGCCCTACAACCTTACAATCACTCTCGTCCAGAGTTGTAAGTAAACACAATACACAATAAAAACTGAGGCCCAATACAAACAAATAGTACCTGGTTGTAGCAAAGGTTAGAGGGCAAGCCTGACTAAAACACACAGACAATCTTTCCTGATCTCTCCTAAGAGTTGCTAAGTGGTTTCAGAGAAGGTTTGCTTTAAACAGTACTCTATACATCATGTTTTCCCTTTCCTATGGCCAGGATAAAAAAATATTTCCATATATAGTCAAGATCAGGTAATAGGAATGAGGTTGG